AATAAGGATGTTTACTATATACAGTATAGAAATCAAAAGTAATTGGGACAGGGGAACTACAGTAGGATAACACTACGAATTGCAAGAGAGCAATAGAACTAATAGTACCTACTGATGTGTATCAATCACTTCTACCTTCTCAATAATATTTACATAAATCCTAGAGATCATTCATTTCTATACCAATTCAAATTTCGTTAAGTAACTTTCATATTAGTAATCGGGACAGGGGAACTACAGTAGGATAACACTACGAATTGTAAGAGAGCAATAGAACTAATAGTACCTACTGATGTGTATCAATCACTTCTACCTTCTCAATAATATTCACATAAACCCTACAGATCATTCATTTCTATACCAATTCAAATTTCGTTAAGTAACTTTCGTATTAGTATGTTTACTGAATAAGGATGGTTACTATATACGGTATTAATGCTATGTTAAGGTTGGTGAGCGAAACTGTCAAATATACGTTTATGGTCAATTTGTTAATAAAATTAACAGATAGTATTATCATTCGATATTATATATATCCTAGTAACAGTAATATACTATGCTATATTAAGATTAGTTAATGGTCCAGAGCACATTATGATAACTAATGTATGGTGATGGACATACCAAGTTAAGATTAGCAGGTACTGTAAGATATCTACAGTGCGGTACAATGTCCTTCGTACTGTGGTCAATTCTATACCAATCATTATAATGTGTCTAAGGATCGCTGTCGTATGCAAGCAAAGCTTGCTCTGTCGATAACAACCGTTATAAGAAAATGTAACAATGAAAATGGCTGTATAGAAAACTCTATAAAGATTCTATGTTTATTCAATTTTCATCAGAATATTACATGAAATCAAAATTTAAAGGCCCAGTGGCCACCCTTAGCGATATAACGAATACTATTTTAATAATCAGTACTCTGCAGAAATTACTACCTTAGAGCTATTCGTTTTACATGAAGAAATCTTTAGGTTAAAAGTACTGTAAGAATCTTATACTGACCTATTGAAATGAACCCATAATCAGAGTCATTTAACAGTAGTATAAATACCCCCGCGCTGCTCGTTTCAAGGGAGGGTGGGTGAGACTAGTGCAAACTCCCGTCGCTTTGCTGACGGTTTACGATAATGTGCTCATTTAACAGATAGTATTACCGGTTATGTGCTATGTTTTAATGCGCTTGTAGCTGATAATAGGATGGTAGAAATGAGATAAAAATAGAAGTTGTTAGCAGTTAATTTACTGTAGGTTTATAAGGTGTGTTAATCTCTAAAAATTGAGCTGTATATGGACGAAGGTTAAGCGTCTTAACACCTGATAGCTTGTAGCTATCTAAGTCTGAGAA